AGAAAATTAATTTAACACCGCTGGGAAAAATTTGCTCCACAGTTTTTCTCTCCTTGTGAAGTAATGGCCGAATTGGGTTTCATTTGGAAATTGCTTTCTAAGACAAATGTCTTTTTCCGGGGTTCATTATTTTTTATTCGTAAATTATTATTATTTTTTGGAATATGCAAATCTCAATGTACTCTTTAGAATGTTTACATTGACTTTGGTAAATTCACACATACATGCGTTATACTTCATTTAAAAATTATAAATCGACGATAAAGTTGAAAATTTTTATAATTGCGGGATATATTTATTATGATGCTATCTACACTCATGGACAAAACTTGTAATTGTAAACAAAAGTTGTACATTTCAACATTTATATCGAGACAATAACTCTGAAAGATATTTGATACACAGTGACCTTTATTGAAGACACTCGAGATAACCAAGTGTGAACTTGTGTGAAAAACTGTGAACAAGTGATAACCAGTGTCCCTGTCTCCTTAAAAAAAATGACGACGGGCAACATCAATGACTTTCACTTCCTTAAGTTTTGTACATGAGTGTAACTTAATTTTAAAACACAAAAATAACTATCTAGAAATCTGCCAATAAAAAGTACTGATGTCTTTGGGGTTGAGACTTCTCGTTGCACTTGCGATAACCTGAAAATAAAAAATGTCCGCGAATACGTCTTCCCTGATCGGTTGCCGACTCCCGATGGCGCTGTAATAAACCAGGAGGGAGGACTTCCATATTCCGGTGATGGAACTTTGCGATGTCACAAAGTGGTATGGAGGGGAGACTTCTGTCGAATTAAAAAATAATTTGCCATTTTGTGGGGAGGGGGGTATCTATCGATCAATCGTCTGACTTTTTAATCCACTTTTGTTACGTAATCTGATAAGGTGGCTGATTGAAAATATCCCTGTTGGGCGGCAAACACGATTGTAAATCTTCCCATAACCTCTCTCTCTCTCTCTCTCTCTCTCTCTTTGTGCTGATCAGAATTATCTTCGTACTGAATGCTCTCTGTTTCATTTATTAAGACGTGTTCCTACTCTCGGTTTTGATAAGTTAAAATGGTAGAAGTGTTTGGCTCATCAAGTCTCCTGTTAGAAAGTAAACTAAGATAAACTGTAGGCCCTCAATAGTCGATAGTATGTAAATAGATATTGCTATAATTTACTCAATATTCTAAGGTGAGATATTGACAGTAAGTCATTTAAAGTTACATACCTAACCCTTAACTACTGCACAAGCCCAATCTTAACAGCGAGTGCAACTAACCAAACAGGGCTCTGACACCTTGTAAAAGCCGAGTCTGTTTCTACATTTGTCAGAAAGACATATGGTGAACTTATAGTATGAAATTAGCCTCAAACCTCTACTCACTATAATGATCTTGACCTATGTAATATGTATTCCTTTTTACTTATCCCTTAGTACACTTGATACAGGCCACAATAATCATGAGAATGATTTTTAAAGCCTTGCTAAATGTTTTAATTTTTGTTTGCTCCTGACGAGGACAAAGGATTTTTGTCGAAACGTCGAGGTAATAAAAAGATTTACTGGCCGAAGTGTCTTTATTTTCAAGAACTATGAATGCCGCCGGCCAGGCAGCCTCTATCTTTATGATAATCATAGTAGGTATTTCGCGACTATTTTTTCTGTAAAAAAAAGTGCATCACATGTCTATTGTTTGAAGAAAGCAGTATAAACACTTACAGTGTGCTAGAGCCCCTATTGGTTACTTGCACTCACTGTAACGGACTTGTGCGAGAATTGGGGGCCACTGAAGCAAAAAAAAAAGTGCTCGATACGGGATTCGATCCCGGCTAACCGACAGTTTATAACCATGCCTCTGTGCTACGTGTACCCGGGAAGTGTAATAGAAAGCAACATGGATATATAAGCAGAATGATCCAATACAGTATTAGAGCTCTAAAGAAGCGATCTGATAGATTAAATTGGCGAAACCGATAGGAGGGTTCACAACTGATGAGCTAAGACCTTCCAATATTTTTCATCGCAGTAAGGACAGTAGAAGTTTGATTTATGTGTGAAAGAAACATTCGTGTTTTAATGTTTTCATTTTCTATATACAGTTAAACCTGCCTATAGCGCCTTCTCCTTTTATTATATTAGATAATAAAAAAACACATATTGGATTGAATAAGAGGTTCATTTGCCAATATTTCGGTTGTCTGAACGCCAACCTTTATCAAGGCATAACATTTATGTATAAACAAACCTAACGCTGCATAGTGTTATAATATTTGTATATGTTGATATCTACATATCAGGCTGCAACTTTTTCTCTCGAATGTGGTCTCATACAAGGTATTATCTATATATATAAAATTGAATGTCTGTCTGTCTGTTTGTCTGTCTGTTTGTTTGTACTCTATAGATTCAAAAACCATACATCCAATCGCCGTGAAATTTTGGGATATTATTAGGTATATCACCGGGAAGGTTTTAGAAAAATAATTTCATGAATATCTTGAATATCCTTAGAGTTATTTGCAGATTTGTAGATTTAACTCGCAAGCAGCGCCCCCATTGTGACGATGTTAACAAGTTTTCTTATCACTAAGTTTGTTATCTTAAATATTATTTATCAAAAGTAAGATTATCTCAGGATGACACGGCAATGTGACACGGGAAAAAATGTTCACTAGATAAAACTATGATTTTCTATATGATATAAAAAGCCAACAATGAAGAGTGAATGTAATATAAAAAGCCAACAATGAAGAATGAATGTAAGATAAAAAGCCAACAATGAAGAGTGAATGTAATATAAAAAGCCAACAATGAAGAATGAATGTAAGATAAAAAGCCAACAATGAAGAGTGAATGTAAGATAAAAAGCCAACAATGAATAGTAAATGTAATATAAAAAGCCAACAATGAAGAATGAATGTAAGATAAAAAGCCAACAATGAATCTATATATATAAAATTGAATGTCTGTCTGTCTGTTTGTCTGTCTGTTTGTTTGTACTCTATAGATTCAAAAACCATACATCCAATCGCCGTGAAATTTTGGGATATTATTAGGTATATCACCGGGAAGGTTTTAGAAAAATAATTTCATGAATATCTTGAATATCCTTAGAGTTATTTGCAGATTTGTAGATTTAACTCGCAAGCAGCGCCCCCATTGTGACGATGTTAACAAGTTTTCTTATCACTAAGTTTGTTATCTTAAATATTATTTATCAAAAGTAAGATTATCTCAGGATGACACGGCAATGTGACACGGGAAAAAATGTTCACTAGATAAAACTATGATTTTCTATATGATATAAAAAGCCAACAATGAAGAGTGAATGTAATATAAAAAGCCAACAATGAAGAATGAATGTAAGATAAAAAGCCAACAATGAAGAGTGAATGTAATATAAAAAGCCAACAATGAAGAATGAATGTAAGATAAAAAGCCAACAATGAAGAGTGAATGTAAGATAAAAAGCCAACAATGAATAGTAAATGTAATATAAAAAGCCAACAATGAAGAATGAATGTAAGATAAAAAGCCAACAATGAATCTATATATATAAAATTGAATGTCTGTCTGTCTGTTTGTCTGTCTGTTTGTTTGTACTCTATAGATTCAAAAACCATACATCCAATCGCCGTGAAATTTTGGGATATTATTAGGTATATCACCGGGAAGGTTTTAGAAAAATAATTTCATGAATATCTTGAATATCCTTAGAGTTATTTGCAGATTTGTAGATTTAACTCGCAAGCAGCGCCCCCATTGTGACGATGTTAACAAGTTTTCTTATCACTAAGTTTGTTATCTTAAATATTATTTATCAAAAGTAAGATTATCTCAGGATGACACGGCAATGTGACACGGGAAAAAATGTTCACTAGATAAAACTATGATTTTCTATATGATATAAAAAGCCAACAATGAAGAGTGAATGTAATATAAAAAGCCAACAATGAAGAATGAATGTAAGATAAAAAGCCAACAATGAAGAGTGAATGTAATATAAAAAGCCAACAATGAAGAATGAATGTAAGATAAAAAGCCAACAATGAAGAGTGAATGTAAGATAAAAAGCCAACAATGAATAGTAAATGTAATATAAAAAGCCAACAATGAAGAATGAATGTAAGATAAAACGCCAACAATGAAGAGTAAATATAATATAAAAAGCCAACAATGAAGAATGAATGTAAGATAAAAAGCCAACAATGAAGAGTGAATATAATATAAAAAGCCAACAATGAAGAGTGAATGTAAGATAAAAAGCCAACAATGAAGAGTGAATGTAATATAAAAAGCCAACAATGAAGAATGAATGTAAGATAAAAAGCCAACAATGAAGAGTGAATGTAATATAAAAAGCCAACAATGAAGAATGAATGTAAGATAAAAAGCCAACAATGAAGAGTGAATGTAATATAAAAAGCCAACAATGAAGAATGAATGTAAGATAAAAAGCCAACAATGAAGAGTGAATGTAATATAAAAAGCCAACAATGAAGAATGAATGTAAGATAAAAAGCCAACAATGAAGAGTGAATGTAATATAAAAAGCCAACAATGAAGAATGAATGTAAGATAAAAAGCCAACAATGAAGAGTGAATGTAATATAAAAAGCCAACAATGAAGAATGAATGTAAGATAAAAAGCCAACAATGAAGAGTGAATGTAAGATAAAAAGCAAACAATGAAGAGTAAATGTAATATAAAAAGTCAACAATGAAGAATGAATGTAAGATAAAAAGCCAACAATGAAGAGTAGATCTCTATATATATATAAAAGTCAATTTCTGTCTGTCTGTCTGTTTCGCGATAAACTAAAAAACTACTGAACCAATTGGTACCATATTTTGCATGTCGCTTTTTATAAACCTGAGGAAAATTTTCGGCTGCATTTTGATTAGTTTTTTGGCTATTTCTTTTTTTTTCATTTGAAGAACTTTTTTTACGCGGACTAATCCGGAATGGAATGAATACCTAAATATGGCCATTTTTTTAAGCATCGATGGTTTATCGAACGGTAGAATGCTCGCCTGCCACGCGGGCGGCCCGGGTTCGATTCCCGGCCGATGCATTTTTTTTTTTTTTACAATTTTTAAAACTCTTTTATATTATCTTAAATATATATAATTGAATGTCTGTCTGTCTGTACTCTATAGATTCAAAAACCATACATCCAATCGCCGTGAAATTTTGGGATATTATTAGGTATATCACCGGGAAGGTTTTTGAAAAATAATTTCATGAATATCTTGAATATCCTTAGAGTTATTTGCAGATTTGTAGATTTAACTCGCAAGCAGCGCCCCCATTGTGACGATGCTAACAAGTTTTCTTATCACTAAGTTTGTTATCTTAAATATTATTTATCAAAAGTAAGATTATCTCAGGATGACACGGCAATTTATTTGCGACAACAATTCCAAGGCGAAGATATTATTCCTTTAACTTCCAATTACCGAGGGAACCAATTAATATTGATTTTATTCAACTTATCGAGTATTTCTCAAGGGACCGGGAAAAAATGTTCACTAGATAAAACTATGATTTTCTAATGTAGAAAATTAGGAAAGACAAAATTCAGGATGACAAGGCACACAGGGACCGGGAAAAAATGTTCACTTTATCGAGAGATTCAAATTTACGAGTTTCAAATTATCAAAATATATCTTTTTTATTTTTTAATAAGTTTTTAGAGAATTGTTTTAACAAATGTTCGCTAGACAAACCTTTACTCGGGTAAAACCCCGGGCGAAGCCGAGTACGTTTTATAAGTTTAAAGAGAATTGTTTTAACAAATGTTCGTTAGACAAACATTCACTCGGGTAAAACCCGGGCGAAGCCGGGCGGGTCCGCTAGTATATCTATATATATAAAAATGAATGTATGTCTGTTTGTTTGTCCTTTATGCCTGACCAAACCACTCATTGGATCGCCATGAAACTTTGGGAAGTTATTTAGTATAGTACTGGGAAGGTTTCTAGCAAATAAAATTTTTGAAATAACTTTTCGCCTAGAAATAATCAAGATAATTATTCTAATTTATCTGTTATAATTCAACAATCTGCTCTAAATATTATCATGATGATACGATGATTTTGTAATGTAGAAAATTAGGAAAGACAAAATTCAGGATGACACGGCAATTTATTTGAGACAAGAATAATGATACAATTCAAAGGCAAGATACTATTCCTTTAACTTCCAATTACCGAGGGAACCAATTAATATTGATTTTATTCTACTTATCGAGTATTTTTTCAAGGGACCGGGAAAAAATGTTCACTTTATCGAGAGATTCGTTAAACAAACCTTTACTCGGGTAAAACCCGGGCGAAGCCGGGTACATCCATACAAGAATAATGATACAATTCCAAGGCAAGATACTATTCCTTTAACTTCCAATTACCGAGGGAACCAATTAATATTGATTTTATTCAACTTATCGAGTATTTTTCAAGGGACCGGTAAAAAATGTTCACTTTATCGAGATATTCGTTAAACAAACCTTTACTCGGGTAAAACCCGGGCGAAGCCGGGTACATCCATACAAGAATAATGATACAATTCCAAGGCAAGATACTATTCCTTTAACTTCCAATTACCGAGGGAACCAATTAATATTGATTTTATTCAACTTATCGAGTATTTTTCAAGGGACCGGGAAAAAAATGTTCACTTTATCGAGAGATTCGTTAGACAAACTTTTACTCGGGTAAAACCCGGGCGAAGCCGGGCGGGTCCGCTAGTATTGATTTTGTATAAATAAACAATGTTCCACAGATTCTAACGTAGAGAGAGATGACGTCATAGCCCTGTCCAATCCCGTGTCGTGGCCCCCAGGTGGCCATCAGTGTAATTAATGTAGCTCATATACAGCGAGTCTAATTACCATCCTGGCAATGAAGATGGATGGATAGTTGCATATTTACATCTCTGGCTTATGTCACATTACTGCATATACCTTAGTGCTCATCTTTCCTTTTTCTTGATATCATTCCCCATTTATTTGGTCTCAACGTGATTTATATCCTTCCTTTGATCACACATAGCTTCACATTAGCTGATAATCCTTAGTTTTGAATTTGTTGGTTTGGAAATAATACACCAAACAATAATTTATTTAATTTCCGATGTTTAACTGTATTACGTTAAGTTTTATTTGCATATACATATCATATTTCCTACTTATTTCTATATATATATGTGGATTTTTGATAAATGGTATTTTATTATAAAATAAATAAAGCTTCCAGGGTTAAGTTTCTTGTTCAATTTTTTTATTTTCAAGTTTTCGGACTTGTCAGTCCTTCAACTGGAGTATCACGTTAATAAATTGATGGTATAAACTATTTTTTATACAAATTAATTTTTACATATTTTAAATATTAATGATATTGAAAGGGGAGAAAAATATATTACATTCTTTGTGTGGTTTAAACAATTAAAATGATATATTTTGATCCAATATATGCCTTTTTAATTAAAGATTTATTTATGGATGGCTATGTTTTCAAAACAATATGTAGATTTTATATAAAAGGGCGTACCTGGATCTGTAAAGAAAAAAAAACAATTTTTTTCTTAAAATATTTCAAGAGATTGCTCCCTCTTTATCAATTTATTGCACAGTGAATTTAATTAACTAAATGTTTTGATATATCATATGATCTACAATAATTTGTAAATTAAATTCACCGTGCAATAAATTGATAAAGAGGGAGCAATCTCTTGAAATATTTTAAGAAAAAAATTGTTTTTTTTTCTCTTTACAGATCCAGGTACGCTCTTTTATATCATCTTAATTAATGTGTGGATCGCCTTTTAACTCAAAACATGTAGATTTGTTTAATTTTCTGTGTTTCAATACCGTGGTTACACCTGTCAAAGAGCTGTTACACCCGAAAGCTTGTATTGCCGTTATTATAAAAAGAAACTCTTCTCTCAGCGGTTGTCTTTTATTTATAATTTTACCGAAGGAATTATAATATTTACATATTACTGTATTCGGCAGAAAGTTGGCTGAGTCCATCTTTCAGCTGCCTAGTGACATGTCTTTCAGCATCCTCCTACCTCCTTGATCCACTTTCTCTTTGTTTTTACCTTTGTTAAAATTATTCGATAATGTTTCGTTCAATAATGTCAACAAAAAAGGTAATCAGGAGAGATGAACGTTTATAATTTTATGTGATATAGCTTTTCTCATTAATCAATAAAATTTGTAATATTTATTTTTTATAAAATAAATGAAGTTTCCAGGGCTAAGTTTCTTGTACAACTTTTTATTTTCAAGTTTTCGGACTTGTCAGTCCTTCAACAGGTTTATTTTTTTTGGCAATGAGCTTCACTCTTATGATAAATAATATCAAATAATATACATACACCTTACTACAATGATTGAAGTTATTAAATGAGAAGGGGCTTCACTCATCAGTAGTTAACCCTCTCAGCGGTTTCGCCAAATTAATCTGAGAGGGTTCACTACTACCGATGAGCCAAGTCCTCTCTCATTTAATAACTTTCAACATTGCAGTAAGGTCTGAATATATATTATTTTATATTATTTATCATAAGAGAAAGTTATTGCTAAAAAAATATATTACAAATATATATTTTTATAGTGTTTCTTCCTATCTCTATATAAAAATATCGTTAAAAAGAAACGAAGGAGCGATGTTTCGGCAGTTTATAAGCCATTACATCATTACATTACATCCAAAGGAATTTCTAAGAGGCCACCAAAGGAAGCTTATGAAATTACATTTTCCTCATCTCTAGTAATGTTACATCAGTTTATTTGCATGATGTTGTGAATCCTATATTTGATCAACGCCATCCTTTATCAACGTATAAACAGCGTAGTTGTTCCTAAACACAGAGTTGGAAATTTTGTCGTGAGTGGTAGTCACCTTTTCTTACCCAATTTTCACATAGCAAAGTTTTCATCTATGTTTTTCAAATATATATCTTTTCTAAATGTTAAATAAGGACTTTTGACAACATTATAATTTCGTTCAACTCTAGCCTCCAATTACTCCGTCTCCTGAGTGACAAGACTAATGTCACACTAACCTAAATATGCAACTTGATTATGTAAATATGTAAATTATCAATATTTATATATCTAGAAAACTGATTTGACAGATGTTAGAGAGAGGTAATTATCAAATATTGGCAATCAGGTTTGTGCCCACGCATTCAATTAAAATATGCAAATAATATTTTAAATGTGTGTATGCAATTATACCCTAGCAATGATAAAGTTGACAATTTATATGTAATTAAAATAATCTCTTGATCGTCCAACTTCACCATCAGGAAATGATTTTCCTAATTTATCACCCAGTTTAATTTCACTTTTGTACCATTTTTAAATATGTAACAATGTCAGCCATATGTAAATAGAATCATTATTTTTTACCTTAAAAATTATCAGTGAATGGACCAACAGCTTACCACCAACAGATTGATGATCACCTTGATTGATGAGCCTGATTGAGCCATTGTCAGGACTCTGAGATACTTGATATAATATGCAAATAAGTAGGTTGCATATTTCCTCCAGAACTCCGCAGTGGAAGAGAGAGGCATTGCGAGCTGTTCTCGGAGTAATTCGATTTCAAGTTTGTAAAAACACCCCAAACTTTTAACTCCGTTAAATTGATTCCACAAAGTTTCCCCTCACACAGAACATGTTATTCGAGTAATTAAAAGTAGAGAAATTGGATAATTTGGTAAAGGGAATACATTTAACTTCACACTTTCTTGGATACAAGATTTTGTCATCTTGGCTTTTACTTTTTCTCCAGTTCTATGTTCTAAGTTTTAGTTTATAAATGTTTTATAGAGATTCGTGTTGTCTCCACCCGCTATACATCTAAACTGGTTATTGATTAGTCATATACTAAGTGGGCAACACACGCTGGATGTCAAAATGTGGTGAGTGCAACTCCACAAATGGGAAACACAGATACACGCTGGGATGTCAAAATGTGGTGAGTACAACTCCACAAATGGGAAACACAGATACACGCTGGGATGTCAAAATGTGGTGAGTACAACTCCACAAATGGG